ACGCCTCCTCCTCCCCCCCCCCCCCATCCCGTGTCGGTTCCCCCCCCCCTTTTCCCCTCCATGGCCTCCGGTTGTGACCCCCGGGCAGGCCCCGTTACCCCCCGGTTGATGCCGCTTCGGGCGGCTGCAGCATCCCATCCCCATCCCGCCTCCATGAGGTGTTTTCCTCCTTTCCCGTTCTAACGGCGTTGGCAGGGAAGGCGTTAATCCGTGAGGAAGGAGGTGAGAGCGCGCCCGAACGCCGTTGAGCTTTGTTTGTCTGGGGGGGGGGGGGAAGAGCCGCCCGCCTTCTGAATGGGGTTGAATGGCTCTAAAGCGTTAAACGAGGGCCGGGGGTGAAAGGAAAGCACCCAAATGGAAGGCTTAACAGAGGGAGATCGGTTGTTGGAGCTTAACCGGAGGGGAAAGGGTGGTGGCGAATGGTTATGGGTGCCAGGGCCCCTTTGGAGCCTCGCACTGGAACCGCTTCCTTGGGGTGTATAACACGATTCCAGCTGCAGAAGGATTTGATCCGCGGCACGAACGCCCTTTGGGCGCGTGTTTTTACCACGCTCCTGCTGCCCCACGGGGTGCTTTGTCCGCGGGGATGGTTCCGTGGTTCATGCGGGCTTGATGGCAGCGACGGGAGCGCTCAATGCGTTGTGAAGGGTTCTTTGGGCATAAAGAGGAGGTGGGAAGCTGTGGTGAGGATTAAAACCGGCTTCAATGAGCGCTGCTTGCCTCTACATTAACTCCAGTGCTGCCCGATTCCAGCAGAAACCAAGCTTTATTCTCCCTGGATAAAGTCCTTTGTTGGAATCAGCAGGAGAACGTCTGCTTCTGGAAGGAATTCCCTTCCGGATCCTGGCTTTTTCTTCTGCAGGTGTTAAACAGTGACTGAAGCAAGTCAATCCCTCATCATTGCTCTGTCTGCTTGGCCTTTCCCGAGCTTTACCCCTGGCTCCGGGAGCGCTGTCTTGGGAATCAGGACACATGGTCCGTTTTGAGTTGGTTTTTTTATCCTTTCTCTGCATTTGTTATCCCAAGGGAGGGTGATGGGGACTTATTGGCTTATCCCACTGGGGTTTTTCCTCCTGGGAATGGTTATGGATGTGCTGTGCTTAAGTCCTTAATACCCACACGGCTCATGAGGCACTGAGCTTGTGAATTACCATGTTCTTCAGGGGTACTGAAAGCTTCAGGTGTCTTTGCCTTGAGAACCCGAGGTCTTTGCTTTGAGAACCCGAGGTCTTTGCTTTGAGAACCTGAGGTCTTTGCCTTGAGAACCCGAGGTCTTTGCCTTGAGAACCCGAGGTCTTTGCTTTGAGAACCCGAGGTCTTTGAGAACCCGAGGTCTTTGCTTTGAGAACCCGAGGTCTTTGCCCTGAGAGCCTGAGGTCTTTGCCTTGAGAACCCGAGGTCTTTGCTTTGAGAACCCGAGGTCTTTGCTTTGAGAACCCGAGGTCTTTGCCTTGAGAGCCTGAGGTCTTTGCCTTGAGAACCCGAGGTCTTTGCCTTGAGAACCCGAGGTCTTTGCCTTGAGAACCCGAGGTCTTTGCCTTGAGAACCCGAGGTCTTTGCCTTGAGAACCCGAGGTCTTTGCCTTGAGAACCCGAGGTCTTTGCCTTGAGAACCCGAGGTCTTCGCCTTGAGAACCCGAGGTCTTCGCCTTGAGAACCCGAGGTCTTTGCCTTGAGAACCCGAGGTCTTTGCTTGAGAACCCGAGGTCTTTGCTTGAGAACCCGAGGTCTTTGCCTTGAGAACCCGAGGTCTTTGCTTTGAGAACCCGAGGTCTTTGCTTTGAGAACCCGAGGTCTTTGCTTTGAGAACCCGAGGTCTTTGCTTGAGAACCCGAGGTCTTTGCCTTGAGAACCTGAGGTCTTTGCTTTGAGAACCCGAGGTCTTTGCTTTGAGAGCCCGAGGTCTTTGCCTTGAGAACCCGAGGTCTTTGCTTGAGAACCCGAGGTCTTTGCCTTGAGAACCTGAGGTCTTTGCTTTGAGAACCCGAGGTCTTTGCTTTGAGAGCCCGAGGTCTTTGCCTTGAGAACCCGAGGTCTTTGCTTTGAGAACCCGAGGTCTTTGCTTGAGAACCCGAGGTCTTTGCTTGAGAACCCGAGGTCTTTGGGAACCCGAGGTCTTTGCCTTGAGAACTCAGGTCTTTGCTTTGAGAACCTGAGGTCTTTGGGAACCTGAGCTCTTTGCTTTGAGGAGAAGCTGAGCTCTTTGCTTTGAGGAGAAGCTGAGCTCTTTGCTTTGAGGAGAACCCGAGCTCTTTGCTTTGAGGAGAAGCTGAGCTCTTTGCTTTGAGGAGAAGCTGAGCTCTGCTTTGAGGAGAACCTGAGCTCTTTGCCTTGAGGAGAACCTGAGCTCTTTGCTTTGAGGAGAAGCTGAGCTCTTTGCCTTGAGGAGAACCTGAGCTCTTTGCTTTGAGGAGAAGCTGAGCTCTTTGCCTTGAGGAGAACCTGAGCTCTTTGCTTTGAGGAGAACCTGAGCTCTTTGCTTTGAGGAGAACCCGAGCTCTTTGCTTTGAGGAGAACCCGAGCTCTTTGCTTTGAGGAGAACCCGAGCTCTTTGCTTTGAGGAGAACCCGAGCTCTTTGCTTTGAGGAGAACCCGAGCTCTTTGCTTTGAGGAGAACCCGAGCTCTTTGCTTTGAGGAGAACCCGAGCTCTTTGCTTTGAGGAGAACCTGAGCTCTTTGCTTTGAGGAGAACCCGAGCTCTTTGCTTTGAGGAGAACCCGAGCTCTTTGCTTTGAGGAGAAGCTGAGCTCTTTGCCTTGAGGAGAACCTGAGCTCTTTGCTTTGAGGAGAACCCGAGCTCTTTGCTTTGAGGAGAACCCGAGCTCTTTGCTTTGAGGAGAACCCGAGCTCTTTGCTTTGAGGAGAACCCGAGCTCTTTGCTTTGAGGAGAACCTGAGCTCTTTGCTTTTAAAGCACTGCATTTTGGGCTGAACAGCCTCTGTTTTCCAGAGGTTTTGAGTAGGTCCAAGCTACTTTTGCCTCCTGGATTAACATCACCAAGGTTCTATCCGAGACAGCTTCAAAATGTCAGGAGAGGAGCTCGCTTCTGATCCTGTGGCTGCTGCTGTTTTGTGTTTGATACTGAGCAAAGCTTCCCTGTGCTGGGTTGGCTTCCTCGTCCCACTGTTCTCCAGCTCGGAGCACGCCTGGAGGCAGGAATCAAGCTGGGATCGTGCCTGGGCCAACCAGGAGCTCAATGGTGGCCCTCAGAGCTGGAGGGAAGAAGTGGAGTTCAAGTCAGGCTTTGGGGTGGCTGCAGTTGATGGCTTGGAGGTTTGGCCTTGATTTCCATGCTCTATCTCACCTCAACACCCCCCTCTGCAGCTGGAAAACCACATCCCGGCCTCATCCCACTGGGAAGCGAAGCTGGAAACAGGGACATGCCAACGGTGGGAAAGGAAATAGCTCAGTAATAAGGCTCTGATAAGAGGTGGTGACGTGTCCAGTTCCTGTTTGCTGGGACAGGAGCTCAGAATTCCAGTGGGAAGCGTTCTGGGAGCTTCACCCCCTCCCAACCCCAGGCTCCTGGAGAGGGTGAGGTGTCCTCTGCAGCCTCACTTAGATGGGAAAAGCTTGGTGACATCCAGAGGAAATCTGTGCTTCAAAATTGGGGGGGGTTTGCCCCCAAAAAGAGGGAAGTTTTGGGAAAACTGGAGGTGGCCTCCAAGAAGTGAAAGCTTTGTGAAGTCAGGAGACACCTCCCAAGAGACACAAACGTTCTTTGTAGTGCTGGGACGAGGGGTGATGGGTTTAAACTGGAGCAGTTTAAGCTTGGAGATAGGGAAGCTCTTCCCCATGAGGGTGCTGGGACACTGGGATGGGTTGAATGGAGAAGGTTTGGATGCCCCATCCCTGGCAGTGCTCAAGGCCAGGTTGGATGGGGCTTGGAGCAAGCTGCTCCAGTGGATGGTGACCCTGCCCATGGCAGGGGTTGGAACTGGATGAGCTTTAAGGTCCCTTCACCCCAACCCATTCCATGATCTTTAAGGTGTGGATGGGTTTATAGGTAATAAGTCCAGATTAAACCCCCATTTATCTGCAGGGAAGTGGCAGCCAAGCTCCTGGGAAGTGCTTTAGCACATCCCAGCACATTGGGTTTGATCCCAAGGGTTCGTTTCCGTGCTCTCAAGGTTTCATTGCAGCACAGAGTTCCTCTGGTGCCCTCAGGTGTTGCTGAGCTCACAGAAGGCCCTTCATCCCTGAGGATGCTCATTCCCCCCTGGAAGCTTGGGAATGGTTTCAAGTGGAGACATGAGTTATTTTGGTGAGGAAAACCAAATCTCTGCTGGGAAATAAAGAGCTGGTGACCACGGTGGCATCTGTGGTGCTTCCTTCACCAGTGCTTCACCCACTGCTGATGTGGGGGAGAGCAGGCTGAAGCCACTTCATTAGTGCAATGCTTGCAATTAGTGCTGGGAAGTGGAAGAGCTCCATGTGTTTTACTGGCTCCTGGAATTTGCATTCCTCACCTGGGCTCATGTATGAGGATATCCAGTATTCCCTAGGGAAAAGGATGCTTCTGCTGGCACAGCACAACTGGACCGTCTGTTCTCAGTGTTGGTTCTGTTCCTTGGATGGCTTATCCCAAAGGTTTTTCTCCTCATGGAATCGTGGAGTGGGTTGGGTTGGGTTGGGAAGGACCTTAAAGCTCATCCAGTCCCAACAAAGCATCAGGCAGCTCCAAGCAATGAAAAGCAGGAGCAAGGCTCTAAAGACTTGGATGGGTTGAGGGTCCTTTAGGGGAAGAACCAAGGCCTGGGCCAGCAGCAGAGGTGATGCTTTAACAGCTCCCTTCTTTCCCTTGCAGGTTATGGCACTTGGAACACTGGAGCCACCAACACTCAAGGTGAGGTTTGTGTCTCTGAGAGTAGAGCTTACTTTTAATTCTTTGTCAGAATAATGGGATGCAGGAGCACTTTATTCCACCTTTCATCTCTTCTACCTATTTTAAGTCATTTGAAGTGATTTAAAATCATTTCTGCTTCCTCTGGTACCATGAAACACAATTCTGGGGGTGATGAACATGCTGGGGGGGGGTTAGTGCTGCAAACAAAGCCTGTCCAAGGCTATTTGGGACTTTGGGCTCCCTCTTGCCCAGCCTAAACAGCAACAGCACCACCAAAATACCCCCAAAAGTGATAGTTTGAAAAAACATCTGCAGTTTTACTGCTTCTTGAGGGGGTTTATAGAATGTTTGAGCTGTTTTCAAGTGTAAAATATTCAAAAGTGCTTCAAGAAACATGTAAAAATCTATGAATTATCCATGACATTTCCCTAATCAGCTCTTGGAAGTCCCGATTTCCTCCTTCCCATCCTTCTTACCAGTGATTAAACTTGAATTAGATCCATTGCACCTCTCAGCTTTTGACTTTGTGGCTTTGGAGGCTGAGCCACCCTTTTCTTTCTGCCCCCTTCAGGTACCTATGGGACGAATGCGACGAGCTGGCAAGGTATGTGCTGACTACAACTGTTAACCTCGGGGTTTGGGGTGCTCTGCTCAGGCTCTGCAGCTCTCTTCCACCTCCTGCACTGTGTCTGCTCCACATTGGGGTGCAGAACTCTCCTCCTCACTGATTCAGGTCTTTCCTTTTGCCTTGCTTCGTGGTTGTAGCTCTTTCTTAGGCCCATGGAGCATCACAAAGCTCTGTCCTGGTGGCTGTGCCTTACAGCAGGGAAATTACCTTGTGGATGAAAATAGGAATGGGAAATTACCTTCCCATCTCCATTTCTCCCTTGGTCTTGGACAGCCAGATGGCTGCAGTAATGAACTGATTTATTGATTCATAAAATGGTTAATATCAATTTCCCCTCCAAACCCAAGGTTTGCCCTTGGAATCTGGCAGCTTGGCCGTACACAACCCACTGCCACGGGCAGGGGCACCTTCCACTAGAGCAGCTTGCTCCAAGCCCTGTCCAGCCTGGCTTTGAACAGGGATGCTTCATCCAAACCTTCTCCATCCAGCCCATTCCAGTGTCCCAGCACCCTCATGGGGAAGAACTTCTTTATCTCCAAGCTGAACTTCCCTGCTCCAGTTGGAACCCATCACCCCTTGTCCTATCCCTGATGAAGCTCCCTCTCCACATCCTTGGAGCCCCCTTCAGACCCTGGTCTCCATGCAGCTTCTCTTCTCTCAGCCTGGCTCCATGTGGGAGCTTCTCCAGCCTCTGCTCCAGCAGCTCCATGTCCTTATGTTGAGGACCCACACAGTTGAGGCTTGGGGCAGAGGAATCATGGCTCTTCCCCTGTTTTAGAACCCACCTTTCACTTCAAGGAGGTCAGATCCATGCCCGGTGGGATCTATCCACATCCAAACTCTTCCTCCTGTGTCTGTCACATGGAATTAACACCCATGTCCTTCCCCTTTCCTGCCAGGCTATGAGGGCTACGACTACTACAACACCCAAACCACCGCCGCCAACACCGCAGCCTCCTACAACTACGCTCCTGCCAGCTCCAGCAGCTGGGAAACCCACAAAGCTTCGGATCTGAGCCTCAATGCTGATGTCGGCTCTTCCATGCACATCAGCTCCTACGGCCCCGAGCACTCCGCCAACGAGAACTCGGATTCCATCATCGCCAAGATCAACCAGCGCCTGGATATGCTGTCGAAGGAGGGCAGCGGTGGCACGGGGGACGGGTTGGAAGACCAGGAGAGGTGATTCTGCACCTTGCTTATGTTTCCTAGGGCTAACTATGGCTTTTCATGTCACTGCAGTTGCAATAGGGCAAAGAACCGGGTTCTGTCCTCGGGCCGCAACAGCCCCGTGCGATGCTCCAGGCTTGGGGAAGAGCAGCTTGGAAGCTGCACATGGAAAAAGAGCTGAGAGTGTGGATTGATGGTGCTGGACATGAGCTTGTGCTCGTCAGCACCAGTGTGGCAGCAGGGATTGTGCCCCTGCACCGGGCACTGGTGGGGCTGCAGCTTGAATGTGGTGTCCAGTTCTGGACCTCTTGCTCCAAGAGAGACGTTGAGGTGCTGGAGCAGGGCCTGGAGCACAAGTGTGCTGGGGAAGGGCTAAGGGACATGGAGGGGGGGTCAGTCTGGAGAAGAGAAGGCTCAGGGGAGACCTGATCGCTCCCTACAAGTGCCTGACAGGAGGATGGAGCCAGGAGGGGCCGGGCTCTGCTCCCAAGGAACAAGGGATGGGACAAGAGGAAACGGCCTCAAGCTGCACCGGGGCAGGTTTAGATGGAGCTGAGGAACAATTCCTGCCCCAAAGGGTGCTCAGGCATTGGAACAGCCTGGAAGTGTTCCCAACCCCTGTAGACAAGTCCCTTATGACACTGGATAGTGGTAGGCTTGGCAGTGCTTGGAACGTTTGGACCGAATGAGAACGACACGGGATACAAAAAGTGATGGATTTGCAGGGATTAATGGTACTTTAATTGTGGTTTTTCTGGCCCAAACCGCCCGGATTGGGATGCAAACTGGATGCAAACCCCTGTGTGAAGGGTGGGAATGTCACCCCTGGTGCTGACCATCCTCTCCTCCCGCAGCTCTTTCAGATACGAGTCCTTCGACTCCTACGACTCGAGGTCCTCCATGAACGACCGGGACATGTATCGCCCCGGCTACGACTACGGCGACGTCGGCGCCGACCGGAACGATTCCTTTGGGAGCCAGTTTGACCGCAGGGATCAGTCACGTACCAGAGGGAACAACTACGGGCTCCTACGGGGCCGGGCTCAGAACCGCATCCAGAACCGCGGGCGACTCAACGCCTTCAACCGCAGCGAGCACTTCATGCCCTCGTCCAGCTCCGAGCGCCTCTCGGCCCGTTGGAATGAGCTGAACTACATGGGAGGGCGTGGGATGGGGGGGGCCGGATCCAACAGGCTCCCTTCCCTCTTTTCCCAAGCCCTTGTTCCCGATTATGGTGACTACGGAGATTACGGCGACTACGGCGACTATGGGGATTACGGCGACTATGGCGACTACGGCGATTACGGTGACTACGGAGACTATGACTATGGCATGATGGGGATGTCGGGCATGGGAATGGGACGGTATGGGAATATGCCGTATGGAATGGGGAGGCAACGGAACAGAGACAGGATGGGGTCGGTGCCCTGGCACATGAACACGCTCATGGTAAGTTGTCGCCGTCGGGTTTGGTTTTTGGTCAGGGTTGGGTGTTGCTTCCCTCTGGGGGTTGGCTGGAAAGTGGAGTCCTTTGGGAAGCATGAGCCTTAATTCGTGGTGCTTCCATGAATTATTCCACTGTGGAATAATTCACCTTTTCCTGAACAGGGATGGGTACCACTGAGCTTGTTTAGATCCATTTGCAATCAAAACAGAGCCTCTGAATGCTTCCCCCCATCCCAGATCCGCTCACTATAACCTAGCTACAAAATCCTTTTATAACCAAAGCCACATCTTGCTGCAGAAAAAATTATGGACTCAGGGATCAATGGGATCAGACAAAAGCCATTTATTACAAAGCATCTATCCTTTTTATACTGTTGTCTGCATCTGCTTACAATGGCTTGCTGTATTATAATCGGATACATACTCTTGTAGCACCCAGCAACTACTGCTACATATACAATAGCTGGCTGTATTATATTTGGATACATCTACAATAGCTTGCTGTAGTATAATTAGATACATATTCAATAGCTTGCTGTATTGTGATTGGATACATACACAATAGCTTAGTATATTATACTTTGATACATCTTCTTGCAGCATACAGCAGCTAGTATACAATTGATCAAAGAAGCGTATGGGAACTTAACCTTTTAAAACTTGCTAACAGTTCACTGTTTTGTATCTTGGCACATTCCAGTTTCTTCTTGTCTTGCTTGCACCGTTCCTTTTGCTCCCTCACCCATGTCCTCCTTCATCCTCGGTTCATGTCGAGCTCCACGGAGGCACTTGCTGACTTGGGAACGTGGCCGTTATTCTTTGCTAACAATCCATCCACAACATCTGCAGGGTCTCAGGAACATGGTGGAACACATGGGTGGAACGCTTTGGTTTTTGAAGCTTCTCTTAGTGCCTCAAGGTGATTGATCCCAATGATTCCTTTCCCCTTCAGCCCAAGAGAAGAGGGTTCCGGAACCGTTCCGGAGGGCGGTCGGATGGAGAGGGGGGAGGACGCAAGAGGAAACAGTCCCAGAGCGGGGACGAGCCTGACAGCAAACAGGCAAAGACTGACAGTGAAGGAGATGACACCGACAACGGTACGAGCCCAGTTTGGGCCATTTTCCTCTGGTTTTAAGTGTTTTCTCTTTCATCTGACTGAGAATCGTTCCATTTCAAAGCTGGGGGGGGTTTGAGGATTGATTAGGGGAGTGTTAAGTGGGACAAACCCCCCTCCCCAGCACCAACTTAAACAGTCCTTCTTTTGCACAGCAGATGAGGGAGAAGGAGAGGACAAATCAGGAGATGAAGCAGACAAAGGTGTAAGTATCCTTGTTTTCTATCAGTCTTTGTGGGAACGTGCTCCGAGGGCTGGAGCAGCTCGGCTCTGGAGCCAGGCTGGGAGAGCTGGACTGGGTCAGCCTGGGGAAGAGAAGGCTCCTGAAGGGGAGACCTTAGAGCAGCTTCAGTGCCTGAAGGGGCTGCAGGAAAGCTGTAGAGGGGCTGGAGGGGGCTTGTACAGCATTCCTTGGAGCAGCCACAGATGTAAAGCTTGATAGTAGGAAGCAATACTTTGTGGTGACATAGAGGAAGTAACACTTTGTGTTTCTCTTTTCCAGGAGGACAGGAATCGGGGTGATTTCATGGAGCAAGGTAGGGATTTACCCCCTCCCACAGCCCCCTGGAGTAACCCCATCACTTCAGCTGGTTTGGGATTGTCATCTCCAGTCAGGACCCATCAGCCCCAGGCACGTTGCACCCTTCTGCCTTGGGGTAAACCACATGTGGGGCTTGAGTTGCTGCTTTTAGGTCGTTTTCAGGGTGGGAGCTGAGGTGTAGCTGGATGTTAAGGCTCTTTCTGATGCCCAGAGGCTTCTTTACCTGACAACGCGTCAGGTGAATTGTTCCCTGAGTCCTTTGAGGCTGATGGGCCTTGGACTTGGTGCTTTCTACCCCAAAGCACTGCAGAGATGAGGTCTGCTGGAGCTGCAGTTCCCAGTAATTACAACAACTGCCTGAGAGCTCAGGAAGAGGCTGCTGCTTCCCTGTGGTTGGAAGTTGGTTTGGGAGAGGGAGAGCTTCCAGAGGCTGGTTGTGATTTCCCAATGCTGAGGGAACACAGGGATTGAGCCCCAGAATTCCTCACCCAGTCCAGTGGGTGACGGGGAGCAGAGTAACTCTGATTTATTCCTCAGCATCAGGAGATGGCTGTGAGGATGATGATGAGGAGATGAAAAAGAAGAGGGAGAAGCAGCGGAGAAGAGACCGGATGCGCGATCGCGCCATGGACAGGTAGGAGCAGTGATAAACAGGTCCCTTGCCAGCATTATTCCATGTGAACAGGGGAATCTCCTGGGGGGGGTCTTATTGTGGGGCTCTGCACTCTGATTTCAGCAGGTTTTCACCCATTTTTGTGTGGTTTGGGATTGTTTTGAGATGAGGAACATACCATGGGGTTTCATACATGGGTCAGCATAGAGTAGTAAGTCCAGAAAGGTATTTAAGAGGCTGTGTATGCACTTATACACTCTGCACTTACACATGTATCTTTAGCTCATTCATTGCTTTATTTTATAGCATTATAAAGGCTGTATATAGCAAAACACAAGGCTGTATCTGCAGCTTTGCTATAAAACAATACATTTAATGAGCTAAAGACAAGATGAAGCAGCCACGTGGCACCAGTGTTTCTCTATCGGGTGCCAGGGATCTGCACATCCAAGAGCGCCCATGAATTTAGCCCATAGCTTTTAAACTCACCCAGGGTTTTAGCATCCACTCCCATAACATAAAGCTTTGAGGAGAAGGAGTTGCTGTTCAATCTGTGCAGGTTCTACCATGATTACAGTGGTCCAAAATGGGGTAAAACTGGGGGGTTTGTGGTACTTGGAACAACAATGAGGTATAAAACCACGCCAGGGGTGGTGATGGTCCTTATCTTAATGTTATTCCTCATCTGTGGTTGTGACTTCTCTGCTTAGGATCCAGTTTGCCTGTTCTGTCTGCAAGTTCCGCAGCTTTGAGGAAGAGGAGATCCAGAAGCATCTCCAGAGCAAATTCCACAAGGAGACCTTGAGGTTCATTGGTACCAAGCTCCCGGATAAAACAGTGGAGTTCCTGCAGGTAGGTGGGATGCTGGCGTAGCTCAACCCTTCCCTGCGTCCATACTGGGATAGGAAGGCTTCATTTAGGGTCACTGGGCTTCGTTTGGTCCACCCAGAGCTGAGGAAGACGATGAAGACCCAGGGAGTGGTTGTGTTTTGGGGGCATTTATCAAAGATTTGGGATCTCCCACAGGGAATCTGATGGTGACATGGGAACAGGCTTCTGTTTGGCTCCGGTTTGATCTTTCCATCTCTGTTATAACATGGCAGGGAAGGGAGAACCTTGGCCTCATCTAGTTCATTCCCCAACCACAGGCTTCCCTGTGGGTATTCCCTAGGGAACTCATTTCCCTTTGGAGCTCCTTGGTCATCAGTGGAGGACACTGGGTTTTCTCCTCTTCCTTCCAGGAATACATCGTCAACAGGAACAAGAAGATCGAGAAGCGGCGCCAGGAGCTGACCGAGAAGGAGGGCACAAAGCAGAAGCCAGATCCTTTTAAGGGTAAATCTATGTCCAGAGACAGAGGCAGTGTGCAAGGAAGGAAAGACAAAGGTGCTGGTGTGGTTGGTTGGGAGCAATTTGAGCCATCCAGCTGCAGGTTCTGGGTGGCTTTTGCCAGCACTGAGAAACAAATGGACTTGATGGAGAAAAGGAAGCGCCCGGCACCGCTGGGAGCTCTCAAGCAGCAGGTTCCTGAGGCTTGTGCAATGTCAGGTGCTAAAATGAAGGTTAAAAGGGGAAAATACCCCAAAAGTGTTGATTTTTGAGGCTGTTTGGTTAACGCAGCTGGATTCTGTGGTCGTTCTTTAAGTGCTAAGGTTGATCTGTTGGGGCAGTGAGGGTGATGGGGAAAGATCCCTTGTGCCATTGGGAGTGATGAGTGGAGTTGAGTTAAGCTCCAGGGAGAAAAGCTGAGCCTAGGAAGAGTGGAGGAATGAACCCAGCACTGGGGGGGGGAAGCTTGATTTGTCCCTTCCAGCCTTAAATAAGTGGATTTGGGAGGGAAAACCAGCCTCGGGTGAGTCGATCACTTTGTACCCCAGGCTGTTATCCCCATCTGTCCTCCTCCTCCACTTGGGTACTGTGTTGGGGTGATCTGGTTTAGAGCAGAGGAACTGTCCTGCCCATCTTAGAGCAGCATATGGGATGCTTTTCTGTCTTGGAAAGCAGACACTGGAAGGAATAGGAGTCCTGGATTAGTGTGACAGTAGTGCCTGAGACATCCACCAGCTGACCATGTCCCTTGGCTTATGGCTGACATCTTCTTGTCTCTGTAGGCATTGGCCAGGAGCACTTCTTCAAGAAGATCGAGGCAGCTCACTGCATGGCCTGTGACATGTTAATTCCTGCACAGAACCACCTCCTCCAGAGGCACCTGAGATCTGCTGATCACAACAGGAACCGCAGGGTAAGCGATGCCTTCACCTCCATGGGTCCCGGCGCTCCAGGTTGGTTTGTGGCTTCAAAAAGCCCTCCTCAGAGGGTCTCTGAACACAGCACGACGTGAAGCTGCTGCCCAGGGGCTTGTGGGGCACTTGCAGATGGGCTGAGCAGGGTTTGTTGGAACACAAGTGGATGAGAAATGGGGAAATGAGCACAGAAAGGGATGTTGAAAGGGGAACGTGGTGTTTCTCATGCGTTGGCAGCTTGGCCAGTGCAGGCTGAATCACAGAATGGTTTGGGTTGGAAAGGACTTCAGATCATCCAGTTCCAACCCCCCCTGCCATGGGCTGGGACACCTCACACTAAACCATGGCACCCAGGGCTCCATCCTTGAACACTGCCAGGGATGGAACATTCACAGCTTCATCAGGCAACCCATTCCAGTGCCTCAGCACCCTCACAGTAAAGAACTTCTTCCTTTTATCCAGCCTGAACTTCCCCTGTTTCAGTCTGAACCCATCGCCCCTTGTCCTATCGCTCCAGTCCCTCTCCAGCATCCTTGTAGCCCCCTTTAGACCCTGAGCTCTCCACACAGCTTCTCCTCTTGAGGCTGACCAGCTCTAGTGTGTGTGCAGGACCTTGCTCTTGGCTTGGTTGAGCTTCATGAGCCTGGCATTGACCACCTCCCAAGTGTGTCCGGATCCCTGTGGATCCCATCCTTTCCTGTTTCCAACAGAGGTTCGTTCCTTTCACAGATGGCTGCAGAGCAGTTCAAGAAAACCAGTTTACACGTGGCTAAGAGCGTCCTGAATAACAAACACATCGTGAAGATGCTGGAAAAATACCTCAAGGTGAGTGGGTCAGGAAGCTGGCAAGTGGTGCCGAGCTCCTGGAGCAGCGCGGAGCTGCGGGTCGGTGACGGGACGTCTGCCTGCATCCGATGGGGATGAACGTAGGTTCCTCTCTGCTGCCTTTTGCTCTCTCAATCCCGGGTCTGGTTTCTTCTCTTCCATAGGTGCTTATTTTACACTTTTCGTGCTTTTTCGGTTTGCTTTGTGTTCATGTATTGAACCCGCAGATGTGGCAAGCAGCATTCCCAGCCTCAATCCTGAATCCATCCAAACCGAGACCGTAATTAAAGAAACCAAAGTAGCCAAAGGAATTCCACTTCCCCCCCAGGCCACCCCTCGAGCTGGGGCCTTTGGAAGCGACACACACACACACACATATACACCAGGCTCCCCCCCCACCCTGCCCCACAGTGAGCGTGCGGGTCGGGAAGCCACCCCTTGACTCCCACTGGGATTGAATCCAACGTGGATGGCGCCTGCTCCATCCCCTGCACTGGGAGAGAGGGGGAGTTTGTACCCTGTGTAAAGAGCTGGGCTTGGCGGCGCTCCCAGCAGCTCCAAGGGACACAGCACCCCGAGGTGGGTGCACCCCATTCCCGTGCGTTGAAACACCCTTCTTAGCACCCCCCCCCTCCCATTTATATTCCCCCTCCTTCCTCTTCCCTTGGGAACATTTAATGAGCTGACCTTCAGAGCCGAGACCGGAGCACGAGGAGAGGGCAGGGGAGGGTTTGCTTAAGCCCAAACCAGCGTTCGGAATTCCAGAAGGAAGCCTGGAAGGCAAACGCAGTCTTCAGAGCATGGGGGGGGTTTAACCCCGCTCCATGTGGGAATGCCGGGTGCTTATTCCCGGCCTAAAGAGCGGGTTGAACGGGCTGAGACCCGCATCCAAGAGAGAGAGGAAAGGTCGCAACCTCCTCCGCTGGGCGAAGATGAAAAGAAGCACTTGTGGCTACTTGCTGGTTCCCTGGGAATCCGGGACCAGCCCAGGATCCGGCGGGACAACCCCTCGGTTGCAGCCTGGCAGACGAGGGCTCACAAGAGCTGCCATGGGGCAGCAGATGCTTCCCCTTGTGTGTGTGTGTTCCCCCCCCCCAAGCCCCGGTGCTGAGGGCAAGGACGAGGAGGAGGGGGGGGGGAGAAAGCCCAAAATCCAGCCCCAAAGCAGTAACATCCCCATTAAACCCCTTCAAAACTGCGACTCCAACCCCACTGGGTCCAGTGCAAAGAGACTCCGAGCTGGGAGCTTGTCCCAGGATTGGGCCGGCTCGGCCCTGCCGCGGCCTCTCATCCCCGTTGACCAGGAGGGTGAGGTAAAAAAAAAACCAAACCCCTGCGGTACCCTCAGGAGGTGAAAACCTCCCGGATTGTCTCCACGACTTAAAAAAAAAAACACCAAAAAAAAAAAAAGCAAAGAAATTAAAAAGTTAAATTAACCCCCTTCTCCCCCCAAAACCACTGGAACCACTCAAGTGCAACTCCATCTACCCCTGCCAGGGTCCGCAGGCACGGCCACATCTCCCCATGAGCAACGGTATCAAAGGCTGCCGGCAGATCTAAATGAATCCCGGGCTCCTGAGCTTTGGCCAGCGGCAGGAGGAGATCTTCGGAGCCATCCCAGCACGGTCTCCGTATCATTCCCAGGTGCAAAACCAGGCTGAAAAGGGGTGGAGGAAAATCTGAGGATTGCAGGTAATGCCAAGAGCCGCCTTCGCCATAAAAAAAAACCAACCCCATGCTCTCGGCACAGCTCCTGCCCAGGGGCGAGACTTAAAACTCAAGACTTGGGGCCGCATCAAGAGATGAGTTCTTGACCATCGGCCTAAAGATTCCTCCTCCTCCGGGATGGCGGGACACCCTCGCCTTTCCCATGGGAAAGCCGGGAGAGCCTCCACCACGAGTGGACTTCACAGAGCCCCTTTCCCGATAGATCTGAGCGGCGATAACGGACGTTGGGGTCCAGATCGCGAGGTTGAGGGTTGAGTTTGGTTTTTGCCTCCCTCTTCCGTAGTTCTCCCCGTCAGCTCCATAGGGCTCAGCAACCACATTCCTGAGCCCGGGAAGAGAGGAACGGTGAGGTTTTCTCCTCCGTCTGCATGGATCTTCTCGCGTGGAGGCAGCCAGCCTGGGCTGAATGGGATCCAGGCGGATCTTAACCCCAGGGTGTGGGGTTGTGGGAGGGGGAAAGGAGGAAGGATCCGGAGAGGTTTTTTCCTCCTGTCCGGAAAACGAAGCCCTCTCCCTGCCCCACGGCAGTCGATCCGCTCACGTGTGAGGTTTGCGTTTCCCCTGCGAGTTGGGGGGAGCCAAACAAAATAGGGAATTTCAGGAATTTGCCCTCGGATTTGCAGCCTGGGTGCGCGTGGGGCAGCTCCTCGCTGGCAAGGTCATGCTCATAGAGCAGCAACATCCCTCCTTTGACCTCCACCTCTGGGAATGTGAGCAGAGCCGCCCCCCACACCACCCCGATGCCTGCAGGGAGCGGGGCTGGGATCCGCAGCAAAGGTAACGAGGTGACAATTCCAACCTAAAATCCAACAAAACGCACCCAAAAAAGCCCCCCAAAATCCCCAAACCTGGCGGGTTTTGGGGTCCCCGCGAGGGCTCTGAGGTCGCGTCGCATCTGGATCCCTCCGTCTCTCGCGACACACTAAAAGGCGGGATGGAAACCTGGAGGCGCCGCCGCAATTCCCACCGAGGGAAGGGGAATCCGCCCGGCAGCAGCTCTGAGCCGGGGGGCCGCGGGCTTGAGGAATTCCCTTTGGATTTGACTCGTCTTCACTTAGATCCCAAATTCCTCCCGGGTGAGGAGCGGAGCCGTAGCGCAGGGTCCGTCCCCGGTGCCCGCGGCGCCTTGTGGGACCTTTAATATTTCACTGGCTCTTTTCCACTCCTTCCAGGTGTGGGATCATTTGTTTTCCCTGCAAATCCTTTGGGATTTTCCATGATGGAGATCTCTTTTAATTACCGTTTCCACCATGCCCAGAGCGGGCCGTCGCCAAGCCGATTTCCACTCGCTATAAACCTCCTGTCCCGTGTGTTCCCGGCGGAGATTCCCGTTGCTCCCTGACTCCTTGTCTCTTTTCCCCCTCTCTTTTCCCGCAGGGAGAAGATCCCTTTACAGATGAAATCACGGATCAAGACGTGGATGAAGCTTTGGAAGGGGGAGACGGCGCCGGGGAAGGAGCGACCGAAGCCACCGCGGCCGCCACCGCTGAGGTCTCCCAGGAAGGGGAAGGAGGAAGCGGGGAAGCGCCGGAAGCAGCCGAACCTTCCCAAGAGTTTTCCAAAGCTGAGGAATTCCTTAAGAAGTTGGGGGAGCAGCAGGATCAACCCCCCAAACCGCTCCTGATGCCCCCGTTCCTGCAAGACGACGAGCTGGAAGCGGAGGAGATGACATCGGAGGTGACGTCGGAAGCGGCGCCGCCGTCGGAAGCGCCCGAAGAGCCCCCAAAATCGGTGGTTTCTCCCCAAAACGAAACTGAGGATTGCGCAGGAAAAGAGGAGGAGGAGGAAGAGGAGGAAGCGGCCGGTAGGAGTGAGGAGGAAGAGGAGGAAGAGGCTCCAGCGGCAGCCACGGAGCCGCAACCGGAGTAACTGTGAATGGGTGCGAAGGTGATGGTAGAGGCTGTGATTCTGGGTTGATGATGAGGGTGATTAATTAGAGTTTGATTAATTAGGGGGGGGTGTGTTAATTAAAGGGGAAGGGCCCAGCCATGGCCTTGAGGAGCTTCCCTCATCCCAGTAGCAATTCCTTCCTGCAAATCCCTCTCGTTTGTGGTGGTGTTTTAGGATGGAAAACGCAGGATCCAGCCCCAAGAAACCCGGGAGTTGTTGGGGGGGGGGTGGGGGGGGGAGGGTTTTAGAGCAAATGAATAAAAGCATCGATTGGATCCCGGCGGCTCCTTGGGTCTGGAATGCCGGCGCCTCATCCCCCTAAATCCGCTGTTTTGGGGGACTTTTCAGTTGGTTTCATCCCAAAAAAAGGGAGATTTCCCCCCCCCCCCCCCTTTGGGGAATGCGTTCATCCCAGTCCTGCCCTCACACGTTGGGGCTGGCCCACATTTGTTGGGATTCCCGCTGGGAATGGGGCCGGGGTTCATTTTGGGGGCAGAAAGTTGTTTTACACCCCCCAAAAAAAAAACAAAACAAAAAAAAACCTTTTTCCAGGAGAATTTGCAGTTGTTCTCTGCACCCATTTCCCAAAGGATTCACCCCAAAACCCATGGCTGCGAGTTGGGGATTTATCAGCCGGACACGGAGTAAATCCTTTGGGTTTTTTTTTTTTCCCCCAAAATCCCCCCTCTTTTTTTTTTTTTATCTTTTTAGCCCCATAAATGCAACCAACATCTCACCGTGCCCCGCGGTGACGTCACACACCCGCGCGCCCGCCCCGGTGACGTCACGCCGGGGAGGGGGGGGGCGTGCCGCGGGTGCGCCGTGACGTCAGGCGCAGCGCGGTGAGGTCAGTGCGGCGCCGCTGCCGGACCCGCTGCCCCTCGGTACCCGGTTCCTCCCCCTCCCCCTCCCTCCTCTTCCTCCTCCTCCTCCTCCTCCCCTCCCCCAATTCCCCCCTCCCCCCCCCGCCTTCCTTAGCGCTACCGGTACCGGGACCCGCCCGGCCCCGCCCCCACCTGAGGTAAGAGCGGGGCCCGGTGAGGGCAGCGGCGGCGGTGGGGGCTGGGCCGGCACCGGCGGTGATGGGGGAGGGGGGGGGAAAGGGGTGGGGGTTGGGTACCGGTGAGGGACGGAGAAGGGGAGACGGGAAGTGGGGGGGGGTTCGGGATTCACCAACGCCTCATACGTCGCCCCGCCGGCGTAACCCGCATTGCGTAATGCGGCCGCTGCGTCAGGGAGGCCTACGTAAAGTGCGTGCGCGGAGCCCGCCCGTAGGTTTGAGGCCTAGCTTACGACAACGGCGTAAAGGGGGGGGGGGGCAGTCACGCGCCGGCTGCGTAGGCCGCTGCGCAAAGCGGTGGAGGGAGGGGGTGTGCGGAATCTCCGCTCTTTACGCACTTTGCGTAACCCCCCTCGAGAGCACTGCGCTGGCTGTGTTACGCCGCTTGCGTAAAGGCCGGCGCCGTAGCTACGGCGTTTACGTCGGTGGGAAGGCGTCTCTGCGCTGTTAGCGTAGCCGTTGCGCGGAGGGGGGGGCGGGGAGCGGGTTCGCGTTACGCCGTTGTCGTGCCGGTACGCAGAGTGCGTGCGGTGGGGCGGGGCCGGGCGGGCGGCGCGGGGGCACTTCCTGCCGCCGCCATTTTGTCGGCGGACGGGAGGAGGAAGCGGCGGCTCCTGCGCGGAGGCAGCGGCCAGGCCCGGCCCGGCCTCAAGGCTCTCGGTGAGTGACGCCGCCGTTCACCGGTCCCTCACCGAGCCCCGCAGTACGACGGCGGCGGCGGGGAGGGGGGGTGGTGGAACCGGGAACCGGGCCTAGCGCTGGTGGAAGGGGGAGGCCTGCCGTTAGGCCTTAGGCCGCTCGCCTCCGCCCAGGCCCTGCGGCCGCTCGCTGAGGTGGGGCAGGAGACGGGGGGGGGGAAGCGGACAACGGGCGCGATGGGAGCCGGGGAGCGAAGCGAATGGGGCCGGGAGGCGATGGGCACCGCGCCGGTGTCCTTGGGCGGAGGGGGGGGGGGTAACGGTGTAAGCGTCCAGCGGGGCGGGTTGGGGCTTTTCGCCTCCATCTCCCCGCGTTTATTCGCGGTTTGAGGTGGGTTTTCCGGTTGTTTTGCCACTTTGGGTCCTTCCGGAGCCGCTGTCGGGTGGGTTTGGGAAGGGGGACGCCGGGTTGGTGCGGCGGGGATTGCCCTCAGGCCGCTCCCCTTCCCAATTGCGCGTTGGCTGTGGGAGATACGGCTTGGAGCGGCCGATTAACAACAGGGAGGCAAAACCCAGCTCCCATCACCATCAACCAGCGCAGCCGCAGCCACCCCGCTGCTTCCCGGTTGGTTTCCCGATGCTTTCCAATCCTCAAAGCTTCACGAAGAGTTCTCATTTCCCAGAAGCTTAAAGCTTCCCGGCTTTCCGCAGCGGTATTCCCAAGGAATCCCTGTTATCCCCTCGGACAAACAGCTCCCGGTGTGGTTTGAGAGTCAGCACAGCGCCGTTGCTCGTAGGGATGCGTGTGTTACGGTGTCAGGCGTTAAGCTGCTCGTTCAAACCGTAACGAACGTGTGGGACACCCACCTGGGTGATTAGCTTCTGTTTCCTGCCACCGTTTTGGGGTCGTTTGAGTGGTTTTGACCACTTGTTGGCGTTTTAGAGGTTTCTTTCGCCTGTTTGTGCTTTGGGTTGGGTTTGGCCCCAGGCAAATTGAGCCGTTTTTTAGGCACGAAAAGGACCCAGAGTGCTTCGGGTAACTCAACCAGGGGTGGTTTGAAGCCCTCAAACCCATTTGAGGCCCTTGTGATTCATCCCCGGTGGGCTTGTTGCTAACGGCAGTGGGTGCACGGCGCTGGGTGTTCCCAGTGCGAGGTGGTCGCTGCTCTTACACCGGGGCCTTTCCGTGCTTCCAAGCATGGAAAAACAGCAGTGAGTTCCTGAGTGCAGGCAACCCTCGTGTCCCTGGATTGTTTCATCCCCCTCTGACTGCATGGATTGCTCAAAGCTGGGTAACTGTTGTTGCTGCCTTATCTGATGCATGTAGTGGAGGTGATGGGCTGTTAACCACCGGTGCTAGCAAAGCATATCCCGAGTGTGAATCCCGTTCCTGCTGGAAGAGGAAACAGGGATTGAGTTGGGTTGGAGTTGGGATCCGACCTGCAAACCGGGAATGCTGCTGTTTCCTTCTAGATGTAGTAAATTGCAATCGGGAAGCCTTTTGGTGTTAAACAGGGAGCTGGGCTCAGGTGCGTGGAGCCAACCCCCTTCGTTAACCATTCCTGGATGTTCTGGCATCGTTTCTCCAAAGCAAACTCCAGGCTGGTTTGGGATCTGCTGGCTCCGGTTCAGGAATGTGCCCCAGTGCTCTGCAGGGAGCTCTTTCACCTTAACCCCAAGTGCAGGCAAACCAGGCTGGAACCTGGGATCGGAGCTGCTGCTCGTGCTCTGTGTCCGTATTGCCTGGCTTTGGTGGGGAAGGGGATGGGTAAAGGTGCATCCCAATCGTGTTCCTTTGCTGTTTGTAAGGGATGGGACCTCATCAGAGCGGGTGTTCCTTCCTAAATATAGAAGGGGCACAGGAATAGGATGGATCCTAGGGGTGGGAGATGGCTGTAACCCAGCTTGGGGCAGCTCTTCCCAGCCCAGATCCCTATGGGAATGCCAGGTGAGGGCCATGGATGTGCCCAGGAGCCGGTGCCAGCTCGGACGAGGGGGGGTTGTGTCACCCACCACGCATTGAATTTGAGCCTGAATCATGTCTCTGCTTCAACCCAAGCAAGGGGATGGAATGGATGGGGGGAAGGAATTGCCCCTATCCAGGTTTGAATCCCGGTTTTCAGCTGGTTTTGGAGCCTTTTTGCTACGGGATGGAGGAAAGCGGAGTCTCTGGAAGCTCACAAGGGAATTGCAGAGGGGTTTGGGGGGTGTCACTGAATAATGGGTGTTTTCCAGCTCTCTGCCATCTAAATCCAAGAGCTTTGGGAGCAGCATCACCCGTGCTGCCGGCTTGGATGGGGTGAGGATTAGTGGGATTCAAAGGGCAGCTCTGCAGAGCGGATGTGAAAGGGGAAACTCACGTGGATCCCCTTTCCCCTCTGGGATGAGCCTTGGGCTGCTTCAGATCCCAGCCCAACAGCACAATAACTTCCTTTAGTTGGGATTAAGGCAACACCAAGCCATGAAGGAATGCTCATCTTGCTCTAACACTTCCAGAAGGAAGTGATGGATAAATCACAGCAATGGGAAAAGGGAGCAGGATCCTGCCGGACCCACGTCCCAATGGATTTATCCCTCTTGGAACAGGGGTATGGAGGGTTTGTGGCTCTTGCTCCTATTGAGCGAGGTGCGATGTGCTGGGGTGAAAGCACCCTCTTTTTTTTTGATGAAATAATCAATATTTGGTTCAGTATTCACTAAATCTCCATTGGGAGCAAATACCCCAAAGGTTGGTTTAGGTGAAGAGTGAAGTGAAATTCCAACCCAGGGAATTCTGCTCCAAGCAGCTCCTCATTGGGAAGTGTGGACAAACAGTGTCCTTAACATGCTACGGGCTTGTGGTGGCTTAATCCGTGTCTCCTGCCTTACAGCAGACACCTCCCCGCAGGGAAAACACCACTGGGATAAAGGGTTTTCCTTATGGATCTTGGAGCATCAAGGGGAAAGTGTTGGGATGGCGGGAGGATGGGGAATACCTTGAAATGAGGCGAAATTCCCACTTGGGAACAGGGAGAGGGCCCCTCCAAGACCCAAACCTCCTCCTTCTCCTTAAGGAATGTTCGTGCTGAGCGTTGCTTTCATGGGACAATGGGGTTTATCCCAAAGCATTTGGGAAGTGTGTGCCTCGTGGTTTTCCCAATCCCTGTTTTAAAGGGGAGGGAGCAGCTCCGTTGCCATTCCTGGTCTATCCAGGAGGAATTCTGTCCCGTTGTTCCAGCCAGTGGGAGGAGAGGAACTGATTATTCCTGTTCCAAAGGCTGGGATAGCCCGGCCCTGCCTTTTGCTCCGGAGGAGGGAGATGGCACCAATCCAGGGCCACATCCAACAACCTTAAAGCAGCAGCATCCAAGCAACTTCCTGAAAGCAGGAATTCCGTCAGCCTTGAAACGTGGGGGGGGGGGGGCTTGAACGGTGGCTTCCTGA